GCTCTGTGCAACTACCAAGGTCATTACTAGTGCTGAGCACTACGGACGAGCAACTCTTATACAGCCTGGGAATCGTGAGTGGGTGACTGCAATTGAGTCAGTCAACGCGTCAGGATGGGCCCCTCCGCCGTATATTATCCTCAAAGGTCACAATATTCAGGAAGGCTGGTTTGACGGGCTGCCGGAAGGCTGGAGATTGGATGTTAGTCCTAATGGCTGGACCACAGATGAGATAGGAATCAAATGGCTTACACGGCTGTTTATTCCAGCTGCAAATCCACGCAGGGTTGGAACCCATATTCTTCTTATTCTGGACGGGCACGGCAGTCATCTTACTCCGGAATTTGACCAAATCTGCAGTGAGAATAAGATTATTCCTCTCTGCATGCCACCACATTCTTCACACCTTTTGCAGCCACTAGATGTGGGTGTTTTTGCACCTTTAAAGCGCGCGTACGGAACCCTAGTTGAACAGCGAATGCGGCTAGGATTCAACACCATTAAGAAGGCAGATTTCCTAGATGCCTATCCTGCAGCACGTCGGGAAGCCTTCAAGGCTTCAAACATTCAAAGTGGGTTCAGGGCCACTGGAATAGTTCCATTGGATCCTCAATGCGTTGTTCAGCAGCTGAATATTCAACTCCGAACCCCTACTCCCCCAGCCAGCAGGTCAAGCAATTCAACGTCATCCTGGATCCTACAAACACCTAGTAACCCCCGGCAATTGCAGAAGCAGGTGAATAAGGTCAGAAATCTTATGGATCAGGATCAACCTCATGGGTTAGTGGAAGGCTTTGACCAAATAATCAAGGCCTGCGAATACGGGATGGTCAGCGCCATGGTTATGAAGAAGCAGTATGAGGATATTTTCAATGCAAATGAGAAAGAGAAGCAAAAACGCAAGAGGTCTACACGCAGGATCCCAAGTGCAGGGGGTCTAACTAGGAATGAAGCTCAGAATCTTATTATTCCTGCAGCTGAGCCTGTTGAACAGCCTGTTATTCAACGTTCCGTACCTGCGGCCCCGGAGCCTAGACCCCGCATACGAGCGCCACAACGCTGCAGCAATTGCAATACTGTTGGGCATACAAGAATAAGATGTCCTCAACTTCATGTAATTTAATTTAATTTAATTAGTGGTTGGTGGGAGTAGATAATTTGATTTAAATTCTGGTTAGTTGAGATATGCTAGTTTTGCTGCTCGCTCGCTTGGGCTGCTCGCTCGCTTGGGAATTACGTTATACATTTTGTTCCTTATCTTTTCTGCTCTTGTGGTCATGGCTTCTTTATGCTTCCCAGTTCTACTTTTTTTTGTTCCATTTCGTGGACCAGAATCCTAACACGCCGGGGTCGCGTGCTATTACGGAGGTTAGTTTGTGCTCTTCGCCATTTAATACGAGGTTACCAAAGGCGTGTATTATTGCATTGCGCATCTCCGTTCGGTATCAAATCACCACCATCCAGACCACATCCTGATAAACCAAGAATAACTGACAAACTCGCCGCACCGGGCGACCAGACGAGATCAGGTAATCTCGTCATCATTCCCTGTAGTTCCGCTATCCCCCGGCTAGGAGACAAGCAACAACGTCAAAGTCAAAACTGTCGCGTTTGGCGTGAAACAGTCGAATGTTACATTTCTTGCCTGGCCACGCTTTGCCTTGAACAAATGCATAAACCACAATGCTTCCAGTCAATGGAAGCTAGATCCATGCCGGATGCTTGCTCGCCTGCTTGCGTGCTCACGATGTTTATACAGCAACTGTTGTTCACCTAGATTCCAATTATGCCGTCGATCTAGGTTTTACGAGAGAAAAACTGCAAAAGTGAAAAAGAGTGAAAAAGTGAAAGTCATCAAGTTTGTTTGTTTTGAGGTCGAACAGCTTCGAAGAACAAAAGAAAAACCTTCAAACCTTCCATTTTCATCCAGAAAATCGTCTCGCCAGGTTATCAAAACCATACACTGATGACTTTCGTTTTTTGTAACTATTTTTTTCTGTAGCTTAACCGCCACTTCTTGGTCAAGAGAAAGGCTTAAGAAGACTAGATACCTGACAAAGAAGAGGCAGTGATTTGCTTTCCTAATAATTTAAAAATCTAGTAATGCACCTCTTTTCTGGCCAGTATCATGCATATCATTATCTAGCGATGTGCCTGGTTGCCTTGGTTTGGGATCTTGGATCTTGTCTGACAGATGATGATCCTGCCTGAGCGGATGTCGGTGCGAAATGACGGTGTAAGTTTGTCTGCGTTGTGTGAGCGGGAGAGAGGTGCGTATGACAGTTTAATCTATGCCCGCCACCTCCTGTTGCCGTGCAGCTGGCGGATGGGGGTTGATTGCCTTGCGTTCGTCCCGTTGGTTCACAGCATGCATTAAGAACGTACGTCTGATCAATGGTGCAAAATAGATTTCGTTTCCTGGGTAGATGGGTGTTTGGTCTAGAGCGGAGACTCTACGCAGAAATGGTATGCATTTGCATATCGCACCCTATTGGGGAAAGTCAAGAGGCTGTGTTCTCCGGATCGATGGCTGATGGCTTTTTGTTTATCTCCGTATCTTTTTTTTGATCTATTTGAAAATTCAATCTAATTTCTTTTTTATTTCTTTTGAGGTCGATGATGAGCTGTCAGTTGCTAGTCCTTTGAGTAGCTGATTGCATTAAAACCTCCAACCCAAACCCTGCTGAGGGACATCGAGTAGCTGCTGTACTCTCCGTCAACAAGGAGACATTCCGATGAACCGCCACCAACTTGGAGATTTCCCCGGTTTGGCGCTGTTCAATATTTGGGTTTGTCAGCAACGCCCAGATGAACTAGGTCAAATTAAGACTAGCGCCATCTGATAGCAAGATTAACTCTCCGCCAATCAATGTGCGGCTCCGCACGCAACATCAGACCTTGCCAGCCTCCCCTTTTGTTTCTTCTACTCTCCTTACCATGCCCGGCTACTTCTGGCTTATTCTCCGTTGTAAAGCACTATTCCCGGAATCTTGACACATCTTTGGCAGCAACTCTCGCGCCTGGCAACTTCCAGCTCGCAGGACAAGAGAGGGATCTTGTCAGCGGCTGCTCCGTGCCCCCTATATCCTCTCAGGGACATCGACTCGTCTCCCATGAGCTGCTTCTTGAACTCGCTAACCCCTGACTGAATCCCTCTGACGTGGCAAGTCCTCAATGGCGTCCGCAGAGTCTGCATAACCCTTGACATACGAAACTTTAATCTCTTCGTTCATCTCCAGCCTCAAGAACAAGCAACCATCACCAACCCCGTCATCTTCACCCTCAAAACCCTGCATGCCCTTTGCATAATTGTGCCATGAGCCGCTTGCTGTCATGACTGTTTTCCTTTAATTTGCTCTTGACACAATGATTTCTCTGGGCTCCTCTTCCGATGGAAACCCACGGACCACTCGATGATAGCATTCCAGCCGTCTCTCCGCCACCGTCAGACAGATCACAATATTTCGAAAACAGGCAGCGAGCCATGATCGGCGACCCCGCCACCAGTCTATATCGCGAGCCCGGTGTTGAGGGTCTCTCAATCAGGGCTAGGCTCTCTCGTCTAGGTCCAGCAACAAAGTGTGGCCTTCGTCTCCTGACGACACCTCAAATCTCAGCTGTGAATGGTGGACGGAGCACTGGGAAGAGGGTGCTCACGGCTCAGACATGTTGTTTCTGAAAAAAACAATAATGTGTCTCAGTGTTGTTCCACCATAGATCTCTTCTTCCGCTTGGTACATGCTTTCCGAAGACAACATACCTGGTAACTGGAACTGGGGAGTGCCGGACTTCCATGTGTGAGTGTGCACAAATACATGTGCTTTGGCTGTGGCAATGGTATAATCTCTCCCTTTTCGGCAATAAGCAACAAAATGCACTGTTTCAATCAAGCAATGGATGAAATAGGGAACTCCAGCAAACAAAACTCCCCTTTCTTTAATTCATTTTACAGTGAAGTTGTCCGCGGGAGCAGAAATGATGTCTGCGCTATTGGAAACAGAAACTGTCTGAAAGCAAATATTTTCCTTCTCCTAATTTAAGATTCCTGATGTGGCAACCCTGGCGGGACTGCACAAAAGCATTATCTTCTGCCCGAACGGAAGCGTAACGACACAATTCCACTACGCAAGTCAATTTTTTTTTTCTTTGGCACTACTCCTTGACTAGTTTTGCAGGACTCCATGCTATGGAATCTTCAGCACTGCTCACTCAGCTGTCTCACAATTTAGACACGGATCTGATCGAATATGAGGAAATGCAAGCAACCAAGCCACTGAGTGCCTCAACGGGCCACAGGAGTATCTGTCCTCCAAAAGGAAAGGGTGGCATCATCAAGCATTCCCTGGGCAAAAGCAGTAGCATCTTCTAACTCTCCTAGCCACACCTACTGAGGTATCGATCGCGTTCAAGCCACTCGCCGGTCGGTCAGTAGTTAGGTGAGAAGCCACCAGCGAATCTGGGCTTCCATTATTTGAATTTTGAAAATTTCCCCCCAAATTTTAACATTTAAATCCCATTTCTCTTTTTGTTTCTGTTTCTAAGATTTGGAGAGCTTGAATACAGAATGACATGGATGCGAGGTGTGATAGCATTGACTTGCCTTTTATACAGAATATCGGTTGCGAAGTCGCAAACCCGTTTGTCTATATCTAGATACATATGCAAAAGCAACAAAAAAATCCGGCTCCGTTGAAGAATTTCTAGCATGGAAAGTTTATCAAATCAATCTCCCTAGGTCCTATAGAGCAACCAGGCATGGCAGCCAGGTTAGCCACTCGATTAGAAGATCATACACATAACAGCTAGCAACTGTTATTGGAGCCTGTACCCTAAATATAGTCAAACCCTCCGGGGGATGCCTGGACTTGCTAAGCATTTGCACCATGAAAGGTGCTTATCAGAAGCGATGTTCTGTAAAAATGAGTCAAGCCTGGAGAAGATTTGGTAAAAAATTTGAAGTACTCAGCCCAGTTCAGCATGAGCATTCGGCTGTTGACTGACTAGACTGTCACAACTTTCTCCACATTGAACCTCTGAGCTTGCCTGAAGTAATATCCCCGCTGATTGCTCACAATTCTCTTCTGATGCCCATCCTCACTCTGCATCAAGAAATCAAAATTAAAATGTGTATGCCCGAACGCCCACATGCACACCTTTGCATTCCTCAAACACTCCTGTCTGCTCAAATCGCTCGCAAACCCAGAGCTAATCACGCTGCCAGAGTGTGCCGGGTCAACCGCTCTGGGGTCCTGAGTAATTGGACTGTGATGGGTAAAAATCACAATTCTCCTTTCTGGCTCTGCAGTAGAGATGGTGGCAACTTGGTCATTCAGCCACGCCAGATCTGCCGCGTGTGCATTGTTGTGGTCCGCAATGGTCCAGTCCTTGATATAATAGAAGTCATTTAAGCCAAAACTGACTCTCTCCTCCTGCTCGGCGGGAACATGCGAGTAAAGGGTGCATCCAAGCACAGTGAGATTCTCAGAAACATCGTAGCGTGTCTGATCCAGAAACACAAATTTCCCAAGCCCCAGAGTCGAGTCGTGCTGCGCGCGATTTTCTACCTTGTGTGAAAACTCATTGATTGGGCGTCTCACCTCCGCCCAGCTGGAGTTGAAGGGTTCATGATTACCAAGAAGGAGGAAGACATGTTGGAACTTGCATAGCTGTGCCTCAATAAAGGAGAAGAACCTGCATCACAAACGTTTCCGATGTCCCCTAGAAGGGCGAGATAGGTGGCTTTGGGGGGAATATCGAAGACGCCGTAGGCGTTGGGGGATTCGAGATGAAGGTCGGAGAGAATTTGAAAGGACGTCATGTTGATGTGCTGGAAATAACGTATATCGTTTGTTGGCCGTATGAATGGGCCGATATGTCAGAATACAACGGATAAATCTGAAGACATTTAAAGCATACCGAATGAAGTTGGACAAGCTTTATTGAATGCAGCGGCAGTCTCGGGCTACTGACAGCTGGTTAGCTAGTTTTAGAAAAGAAATTGTAGCTTCAGCCGATCAGACAATCTTGGGCAATACCAGAGACCTACATTAATTATTTATAATAAGAAGCTGTTAGAAAACTGGTAAATTTGAGATAGTATCGTATGAGGATCGGGGTGGTAGCTCTTATGAAGAAACTGAACTGAGCCAGAACTTAGTCGGGTTACAGTTGGAGTATGATTTAGAATTTATATAAATGTTGGAGATGCTACACATAAATGAGCTCCGTTATTACTCTGTAAGTTGACGACGAGTCCTTGCGTAGTGCTAAATTCTGGCAAGAGTTGGTTATACCAGGCGGGGATGCTAAATCGTCCAACCAAGCCAAACACAGACTGGCGCCTAACTCCCGTATTTAATTTGCTGGATGGAAGAAAAAATGGCACAAGAGAAACAATACATGCAGCATCAACAGGAAATGGAGAAGCAAAGATAACAGCAACCACCACAGAGCAAAGGCGGAATCGAAACAGGACAAAAAAAAAGTATGTTAACATTGACTACATGAGCACTGCGACAATGTTCTCTAATGTTGATCCCAGAACAGCACACATGAGAATAGCATAGAAGATGGAACAATCAAAACAGACAAAAGCAAACCAATAAAAGAAGTCATTAGTATCCTTCTGTGGTCTCTATCGCTATCATGTAGCCATCAGGCAGCAATGCGATCAAGTCTTCCATCAGTCAAGCTTCTATAACCTTTTCAGGAGCCGATCGAGATAATTGACAAGTGCGAGTATTTAGCTTCTTGCCATCGATTGGGAGAGTGGTGATGGTGTCGCCACAGGGTATCCTATAGGTCCACCGTGCGAAAGACTCACAGTTTTCCCTGATATTCTCCTTACAATCATAGAATTTGCTCTTGGAGATGTGAAGATGTTGCCCATCATGGAACGCCTGCAAGATACCTGCTTTAGATCAAAAAATGGACATAGATGGAGGAAGTTTAACATTAGTTACCTCGTGAAAAGGGATAATTGGTTTTGGTCATGGAGATACGACGCCAGAAGAGGAAACGCCTGGCTTGTGAGCAGGTCTCCTGTTCGTTCATGAAAGAGGCAACGTGTCGGGGAAATGTATCGTTGATCGTAGGCGAGCAGTCTCATTCTCCATTTCATGTATGCAACAATGGTAGCCACCTCGCTGCGACGAAGAGGTTCCTAGGATCTGCATAATGAGCAATTCTGAAGCTGCTACTTCAAATTCTCCACACGTTTGCCACGATAGGGGGCATAGGCCTACATTCGCCAGTCCCGATACGAGGAATTTCACGACAACATCTGGAATTAAACAAGGAGAGAAGTTGATCTGTTAGCGCATGATTTCTCACAGCATCTTTTTGAGTAGCAACTATTATCTTGACGAGCAACTTACCTACATGGCAGCCAAGGCTGCTGTCTGCCAGTAAGAAGCCACCCACCCAAGGGATTTCACGGTATTTTGGAGCGTATAATCAACACGACGAGATTCTGCACTATATCCCTCTGACCAGTCATAGAAATCCGCATTGTCCCAGTTAAACGCCGGGAAGTCTGCTTTTGGAAGTGGTTCGTAGAAAGTCGCATCGCCATCCTGAGAATCCCCTTCAAGCTCCTCCAAGTCGTGATCCCATTAAGTTGTGCGCTTGAGGGTCTTTGTCTCCCTAAAGATACAGCTGAAGTGACGGGCCACACCTGCGTCTTTGCCCCGCGCTCGAGGGTGGACGGTCGCATCCTGTGTCCCCATCTGTGACAACTAGAAGCTGAACGAAAAGAGATTACGGTTTACTGGTTGCTCTTGCTATCGTAGCCGCCTGCCAGCCTGTCATCCAGTAGTCTGGGCACGGATCTCTCCTATCAAAACGGATTCAACAACAACAATGGCTATACGGATCGCGTAATTTCCACGATCGTTCTCTGGCGCGGGAGAATTTACCCAAAGTGGTCGAGCGGGTAACCACGTGATCGAAGGCGGTCGGGCAGAAGTTGAAAATCGGCGGCAGAAAAAAATAAGAAGAATATTCGAGGCAATTTCAGAATTCAAAAAGTCCAAAAAGATAAACAGCACGAACGATACTGGAGAAAATGGCTCCGTAGCGGATTATTGGGGAGGTGCGATTAAAGGTTCTCCCTAAAAATACGCGCCATAATTTCCGTACTAATTCTATCTTAAACAGCCCATTTTTCCGCCGCTTTTCAATATCAGCCATGGACGTCCACAGATGTCGATTCGTAGCATACAACCCGCAGGCAATTAACGCCCTCGCATTCTCCCATCCTCCGTCTGTGGAAATCTCCGGCAGAGGCGTGCCTACCCTTCGTCTTGCTATCGGTCGTGCTAATGGTGATATCGAAATATGGAACCCCCTCCGGGGAGCTTGGCTACAGGAATCGATTTTACGTGGAGGCAAGGACCGCAGCATCGAAGGCGTTGTATGGACTCAAGACCCCAGTGAGGATGCGGTTGACAGCAATGGATTCAAAGCTCCTGGGAAGTTGAGGTTATTTAGCATTGGTTCCTCCAGTGTCGTGACTGAGTGGAACCTGGGAGAGGGCAGGCCGGCGAGACACTCGAGCGGAAACTTTGGCGAGATCTGGTGTTTGGCTGCACAGCCCCGGTGGAAACCGACCAAGAAGGACAAGGACGGGAAATTCTTACCGCCCGCCGAGGGTGAGTATACCGGACAGCATTTGGCAGTAGGGTGTGCCGATGGGTCGGTTGTTATTTTGTCGACGGAAGACGGGGATTTGAGATATCTGCGTTCTATGAGGCCTTCAACTAAAAAGGCTCGAGTCCTTAGTCTTACGTTCCAGGATCGCAATATTGCCGTGGTTGGATATGCGGATAGCTCTATTCGAATATTCGATATCCGCAATGGGAGGATTTTGCGGACAGTTTCTATGGGTAAAGGTCCTGTGAAGGGGTCTAAAGAGCTTTTGGTATGGTGTGTGAAATGTTTGCCGGACGGAACTATCATTTCTGGAGACTCTGCTGGTGAAATACGATTCTGGGACGCGAAAAACTACTCCCTTATCCAACGCATACAGGGCCACCAGGCGGATGTGTTGGATATTGCTGTTAGTGCCGATGGAGAATCTCTCATCAGCGGTGGTGCGGATCAGAGGACGACTGTTTACAAGCTAGGGGGAAGCAAGAAGAACGATAAATCGAGACGATGGAAAGAAATAACTCATCGTCGATATCATACTCACGACATCAAGGCTTTCGCTGTTTATGAGACTAAGGATATAAGCATTGTGGTATCTGGAGGTATGCCCTGTTCATGCCGTTCAAACGTTGAAAAGCTTGCATCTTTAGCTCGTGTCTAACCTCGGAATGCTAGGATTGGACACAATACCTGTGGTCGTTCCGTTGCGTGAGTACGGAGCAGAACATCACCGAAAACTATCGAATCTTCCCCAAATCCCTCAGATAGCCTCATCGCCTTCGTCTCGCCTTCTTATGAGCTGGTGGGAACGCGAAATAAACATATGGTATATATCTAAGCACTCGGGGGCTGGTGAGCTACTTCTGGACGGGACCAGCCATAAACTCGTAGGCAAAGTGCTGTTCCAGGGTGAAGAAAGCCTCACCTCTGCGGCCTTGTCGTCAGATGGGAAACTCCTCGTTGCAACCACTATAGCAGAAGTTAAGATGTTCAACCTAACGTGGCGAAAGGGAGAGAGCAAGCCCGCACTACGCGTCCAAAAGATCGATCTTCCGCCTGCAGTGGCTATCCACGGAGCTAAATCTGTTACCTTCTCACCCAATAGCCAATGGATCTGTCTAATTCGCGCCAACAACGATATTAACCTTGCTAGAATTGTTTCAAGTTCGAATCCTAAGGAAAACCCGCAGATCCTGTCACAGCTTATAGATTTAGACCGCATTCCTCGGCATATTCGACATAAAGAGATCTACGGTACGCTTGGCCAGTATGAACGGAGCATTCGCTGTGTCGTATTTTCCGAGGACAGTAGAATTCTCGCCTGTGGGGACATCGGAGGATTTATTGACTCGTGGATATTGGAGGATGTGGTAGAATCGAGAACCGACAGAAGGGTGAAGGCGAACGGGCAAACCTCTTCAGATGATGAATTTTCAGATGGCGATGATACTCCCGTCGTCCTCGAGGGCCAGCGTTGGATACAGACACCATCAGAATCGCCCATCCCTCGCCTGAAAGCTGGAATTTTATTGTTGTCATTCCGCCCGTCAAATCTCTCCCGCAAGAAGGCCCTTACAAACGGCACCACCAATTCGCATTTTACGCCCCCGCCTTTGGCCGGTACCGATCGTCTAATGATATTAACCGCAGATCACCAGCTGTCTGAATTTGAGGTGTTGAAAGGGAAACTGTCTGATTGGTCCCGAAGAAACCCCAAAGCATACCTGCCAAACGAATTCACCATACTTAAGGATCGAGCGATGGGTGCTATCTGGGATGTCAATAGGAGTCGGGAACGTTTTTGGTTGTACGGTCCTACATGGATGTGGATGTTTAATCTTTCGCAAGATTTCCCCCCGCCAGATGGAGCAGCGGAAAACAAGGATTCCCCGGGAGCAGCGAAACAGAGAACGAACAAACGCAAACGGGATGACGAAGAAGGGAAGCTGCCGAAGACCAACACTGGTGCTGGAGATAGAATGCCACTTTCGAAATCCGATGTAGGAATGGGAAGGAAAATGCGCAAAATTGTGGGTGATGAAGAAACAAATGCGCGATGGATAGATCTCAAACCGGAAAGAACCCGCGATGATGCGATTGAAGAAGACGAATATGAACCGTACAATGACTCGTCGGCTGCAAATGACTCCGCCCTAGCACGCCTTCGACGAGAACAGAGCTTCACCGAACCGGAAACGCGGGAGAGGGAAGACGAAGACGGCGGCAGGGATAAGGAGACAAACCATCAAAGTCAACATCATGCCAACGGTACGAGCACAACTTTCCCTTTTTCATCCATCATTCCCAGCACGAAATCGCAAATAGCGTTTGCCGTCGTGATCATCAACGGACCACCCGTCGCCAATGGCGACAACGCACTGCCGAAAGGAAAACAAGTGCAGAGCCAGAAATCAAAAATGGCTGTAGCTGTACCCGAAAAGCTTAAACGAGAAGAACATGCCTCCGTTCCAATCCAGAATGCAACTGACGCAGATTCTGTACCAGACCTTCAGGTTCAAACGCGAGAGCCGTCGAAAAACTCACTGCGGGAACGTCGTTGGTGGCATACTCACAAGTATCGAGATGTTCTCGGAATAGTGCCCCTCGACCAGTTGGGCAGTGGATCAGATGCAGAACAGGAGCAGGGAGAGGACGGGTTTAACCTGGAAGTTGCTGTGGTGGAGCGGCCGATGTGGGATGTAGATTTGCCTGGGCGGTATGTGCGGGATTACGAGTAGGGACCTCCTCATTGAGAGGATAGAGGGAAGAAGAAAAAGCTGTACGGGCGTTTGCTTATTTTATATTTTGCTATATACACCACCAGCATGGCCAGGGTGTTGATTCTTTTTTTGCTTGGTTGAACTACCCTATCCAGATGTGACGTTGTATGTATGCTATCTATTTATTATATACCACATCAAGTATTATCCCCAAGCAGCCACTGTCTAAGGTATATCTCTGCTTGCAGATCAGGCATCTAGTCTGCTACTTTTCTCCCAATTTTAACCAGGAGGGATACTTGTGTGACCTGTTATATCTGGGGGGTTTCATGCCGTGATCTAGAGGCGCAGGAGAAGGGTCATTTACTAATATTATACAACCCCAGCCCTCGGATCCACGGGATAGACCAAGTGCTTGACTTGGAACATAAGGGGATATTGTGGCCATTAAGGGAATCACTCGAAACGAGAGTTGTTCGCGCTGTTTGAACCCACGATCAGCTACAGTCTGTATGCAGGACACCACGCCGGCCATTGGAGGCGTCGACGGCCTCAAAACTCGCGTCGTGAATTCAAAGCTGACTCTCAGCGCCGATGCAACCAAACGCAGACAATCATTATTAACTCTAGCTTCCCTGACACTTCTGAACGGAGGAATCGGGGCGCGAATGCTGCTGCATGAACTTTCTTTTCCCTCTGCACACTGGTCCGTCCTGCCACGTCCTTTATTTTGATCGCAGCCAGGCACCAGGGTTTGCGATGCGCGTTTCAAGCCCTGAAATTCTTCTGCCTTTCGCTCTGGCTTTCCATGCCCAAGGGGGAATACATAAGATCGCGCCCATTCCCTTGACCTTGGAGGAAGCAAGTAAACAAATGAAGGGATCCTTCGTTGCTAGTACTTAAGGTCGCCGATGCCCCACGCTTGTCAATTCCGTGTCCTTGTATATTTTGCTCTCCGGCTTAACTCCCCACCGGGCATCTTGTCGTCTTTGATCTTGAATCCCGACGGAGTGTACATTGGGAGCAATCTAGATATGCCCGAAGAAAGCGGTCTGTACTGCATTCTATGCGCGGGGTTCATCCATTATCAATCCCCAAGAGAGTCATGGCAGACGGAGTTTCGTGCCGGTAAGTAGACATCTGTATCCGTCCAACATAGTATTTACATCATTATCACCGATCTTCTGGACGGCGATTCCACAATGGACTACCAATTCTGATGTTTCATACTAGTTCGTGTTACCCACGGCGATGGCGATGGCGATGGCGATGAAAAGAAGCGCTTTTTGACTGGCGTGGGCGGATTTATACACCGCGACTTTCCATTCTCAGCCCCGTCGAATCCCGACCAACGCTACGACGATAAAGAATACAGGGTCTCTCCACTGGATGAGTTTGTGCCCTTCCTCTCTGTATCCCATCGTATCGACATTGGATACGCCTTCCATGACTTATGTTGGCGCCTGCTCAATGCTCTTAGCTATCCGGATCCTGTCCCGATAGACCGCTTCTACGATATATGCAGCTCATTCCATCCGCGGAGCCAAAATTGGTTGCCCTGGGGTCATACCTATGGAGGCTTATTGAAAGCAGACCGGGTCTATTACCCTTGGGAGGAGGCCCGCCTTGCTGGCATGATCACAGGCTCTGTCACCAAACCGAAACTATCTCCATATTATTACTATAAACAGGATCCCTGGAATATCCCGGAATTACAACAAATATTGGCAGAGACGAAAGAGAGCCCTGGCCGGGAATCATGCAACGATGAGCTGAGGATATCCTGCAGACCGCAGCAGCATGCGGATTGCTTCTCAATGTTGCCAGTGGAGCTCCTTGAAGAGATTATGACGCAGCTGCTAGTAAAAGATGTTGCTAGCCTAAGGCGGGCGTCAAGGTCGTTCGCCAGCCTACCACTCACGCAATATTTTTGGTCCTCTCGATTCCGACCTGAGATGGACCGGGATTTCATTTTTGAGGCGACCATAGCAGATCGTGAATCCGCTGTTTCCGCTGGGCGACGTGACTGGCGAGTGTTATATGAGAAAACAGGCCAAAGCCTACTCGAAGGCGGCGCCTTAGCAAATCGGCGAAGAATTTGGAATTGCAATAGATCTCTTGCAAGATTATTGAGCATTGAGCCGTTGGACAAAGAGCGACTGGCGAGAGCGGACCGATACAATAATATCGTGTGGAAAGCTGTTGGGGCACGTTACCCATCTAACCAGTACAGTAGGCTTTATGTCCAGGCAGCTCGTCTACCGCGTGAAATATCTCGGATTGCGGTGTCCTTGATCACCCTCAATGGCAAACAATATGTATCGGGAATCCGTATTAGTTCGCGCAAAGAACGGGGTGTGGACATGGGCTATATCATTCCGAGCAGCGAAATTGTCTTGGATCTGGAAAATGAGAACGGCACTCCTGTGACGCTCTCCGGATTCATTACTGCGGTTGGACCCAGCGGGATCCATGCGCTGCGAGCTACCACGCTTGAAGGAGTGTTATCGATTTGGGGAGGTTGTCCGGATTCCAAGCCTGTAACGCTCCGACTTTGCAACAACGAGCGTATATCCCATCTGAAGTGCGCTTTCGATGTATGTACTGACCCCTCGTTTCATTTCCCTTTCCTTCATCTAACTGATCATCCTAGGGGTTTAAACTCGTCGCGATTTCGGTCCCAGACCCAGAAGTCGGCTCGCACGAACGGCCACCACATCTGCCCTTGCGGACAACCGCGATCTGGTACCCCACCGTCCCACCCGAAGATGTTTACCTGCACGAATCCACTTTCGCCGGCAAAGAAGTGCCCCAGTCCGAGTACCACCCACTCATTCACGTAATGTTCGGTGGGCCCCAGGGTTCATATCTAAAATATCTCACCCGGATATCGGTCACAGTTTCGGGACAAACTATTGTTGGGATAGATTTTGAGTATGGGGGTGAGAGCGCGCCAGTCGAACGGCTACAAGCAGGTCGTAATGCCCTGGGTGGAGATGACTCGTTGAGGATACCTTTCACTGTTGACGGGCCGGGTGGAGAAATCCTTACGGGCATCCAAGTGAACGGAGACTGCTGGAAGAATATAACGTCGATAAAAGTAAGTTATATATATCCCAGGGGGGGGGGGGGGGTTTCTTCTTCTTTTGTCCCATTGTTCCTCAAAATCCCTTCCTCCGTTCTCCTTTACACTAGGACATCAAGCTTACAACAATGTGCGAATAGGTCGCAACAAACCGCAACCGACAATTCACCTTTCAGCCAAATGCGATTCCCCAACTGAGGTTTCCTCCCGGGCCACTGGTTCGCAAAAAGATGGGAAAGATAGAAATCACCCCCGGAACGACTATAATAGGGATATATATCATGCACGTACGTTTTTCATCCTGTCAAAATTTCCTTTCCAAGCAGTGTTTCCCCTTCTCACTGACCCAGCTTGCTAATGACCTCTTGTATATTTCTATCAATCAAACAGGATAGTTTCGCTGGTATGATAGGGCTGGGCCCTATATCGAAAAGATTGCCAGAATATAGCGACAAGGGCAGCCACGCGAAAGACAAATCATGAAGAAAACGTGGGGAGCATATCAAGAGTTTTCTCTGTTGCTCTATAACTTGGGAAGGCGTTTGGTATTATGTGCATTTTCATGATACAGCTGTGCCGGCCGGGTTAATTCCTTCACGCTGAGCATTCTCTTCCCGTGACGCGGGGGGAACTGCGTGATTCACTCTCCGGAGAATCTCGAATATCTCCGCACCCTGCTTTAGCAAGGAGCACGGCATGCTGATATCCTTCAAAAAACAAAACCAAATGTGGAATCGACTTCCAACGAAAGCCCGGAGCTGGGAAAACGAAACGAAACGAAACGAAACAATTCACATCGAAAAAGCAAAAGAAAACAAAAAAAAAAAAAAAAAAAAAAAAAGGAAAAGAAAAACCACGATCTGTCCCGAAAGAGCCAGCCACTAATACTAAACACACTCCAACGCCTCATGCACGGGCGGCCTCTCCACCAAAATCCTTCAATGCCAGGCCTCACAACCCCGCCCCTCTCCACAATGCCTCAGTCAAGGAGGACCGGCCTTACGTGCGACGATCCGCTCATCCGGCCCGCGCACAACGAACGTCTACTACCAACTCGCTCAGATAGCGATTAATCTGCGTACACGAGTTCCGCAATCCCCGTGACCACCACCTCCGCGCCGTCCCCTTGCCTGCCATTCCTCAGCCTCATCCCCGCCGCCGCGTACGACGACAAACCGCAACCTCGTCCCCTTCCCAAGACTCAACATATCAATCCCGCGCGTGGTGATGTTCTCCCCCAGGTCACCGGGCCGCAGCTTGCCACCGCCACTCCCGCCATCACCACCACCACCACCACCACCACCACCACCACCACCACCACCACCACCATCACCACTATCACTACCGCCACCATCACCAGCAGCAGCAGCATCCAGGATCTCGACATGCATAAGATGCACCTGGCGCAGATTCGGCGGCGGGGGCGAGATATGCAGACGCGAGCGGTGCTGGACGGTGGCGCCGGCGTGTGCGTCGCCGCGCACGCCCAGGTTGGGCAGGAGGGTGATGCTGGGCACGCGGGGCTTGGAGAAGGAGTGCGTTGCGGAGGCGTGGACGCTTAGGACGGACATTTTCTTTCTTTTACGTATGTATGTATGTATGTACGTATGTATGTATGTATGTATGGATGGATGGATGGATGGATGGATGGATGGATGGGTGGATGGATGGGTGGATGGATGGGCGTAGTTATTTATTCATTTATGAGGTTCTTTTCCGTCGTGGAGACGGTTGGATTGAATTTGAAAATTGATAACTTTCAATATAACGAAGCGAGAGAGGGGGAGGGGGAGGGGGGTGGTGTTGGATATCGAGTCGGGTCCTGTCATCGATATCTAGATACCTTCTAGAGTCATACATACATACATACATACATATTTGCCCATCAGGCATAGGCGGTTTTCCAACAATGGGTAGGCCAGATTGGAACGAAACTGCGTTGACTAGTTTAGTTAACTATGTACAGTACATGTATTCTGTACAGTGCCCACGTAACGTACGTACTAGTGATTGAGTACTTCGGCCATCCGGGGACGCAAGAAACCAGCCCTTTTTTCTTTTTTACCCCTCCGTACATCCATCATCTATAATAATAATAGTTGTAGTAATAAAGCATCCCGGACGGGGCGAACTGCATCCTGTAAACCACGAACGAGACTGGCTCATGCTATGCTGGGTTCGTGATGCCGGGATAATCCCGTGCTCAGCCCCGCGTTCTCGCCAACGAGGGAAATAATATATACATACACACATTCATTCCCAGAAGAACTTCTACAGGACCGCAACATGAAATCCCAAAACTTCCCACCGCATTGGAATTGTAGAATGACTTATTAACACTATTTAGGGTCCCCTTCGAGGATTATAATCTCAATCCCTACTTCATTTTCTGTGTCCTAAGTAATTGCGCTAACATTACATGGTTCAATAACAATATTTGACACGGTACGGTATGGTATATTAACATTTCATTAATATGGCATGGGGGAGCAAAGAAAGCACGCATAAGAATATCGATTAATCTTTAAATAATAGAAAGGATATATCGGGTAAAGGTTAAAGGACGAAAGACGAAAGAAAGAAAAGTTCAACAAAGGAAATCAAATAGAAATTAGAACCACAGGAGGATATGGCTTATATATCATTTTCAGTAACTGGATAGAATGGAGTAATATAAAGCCAACATAGCAAACATGAAAACAAAAAGAGAGAGAAAGCAAAGCAAAGATATCAGCGAACAACCAACGCCTCCCAAAGCCAGGGTTGAGGCATTTATATATAATATGTGATAAACTGACAGATTAAAAGGAACTGGGGCCAAAAACCTAAAATTCAAACCCGAACCCGAACCCCGAACCGGAACCCCCAACCCCAAAGCCGGATGGATGGATAAAACATTGGGAAATAGCGGCAAGCTGGCGTGCAGTGTGTAATGAGTAGAAAAGTATGATGTCATCGTCCAGCAGAACAGAGAACAAATGGAGGGAGTTAGATCGAGGAACAGGGAATAGAGAGGTGTGGACTTGGCGACGGAGGAGGTTGAGAGAGTAAGACGCGGAGGAAAAAAAAAGTAAGATTAAGACCAGGCGCGGGTGGACTCTCGTAGCCTCTTTGTTGTAAGATAAAATGGAAGTTAAGAAAAACAGGAACGGGCAATGTGGGTATCTTTTTGGGGGATTTTCATTCACGAGAGTTCGATCGATATCGATGACATCTTACGTGAGATAGGGAGAAAGGTGGGTTAGGAGGTAGCCGTAGTTCGAGGAGGATTCGTTCATGAGGAAAAGAAAGCGAGGGATAATGGGGTGTCTTTGTCGTCGTGGTGTAATAACTTTTATTATGATCGTTCCAATCGTGGGTGGAAAAAAAAAAAAAAACCAATTTCAACAAAACGGAGCATATTCATCGGCCCTGGTTTGATCTATCTGGATTTGGTTGCCCTGCCTGTCCCTGCGTGGGATTTACCCATTCCACATTTCCGTTCTGTGTCGTAACGGGCACCTTCGTTTCATCGGTCGACGCACCGTTACCATTGGTGGCACCGCCAGTGCCATTGCTGCTAATGCGTCCGTTGGGAAACAGATTATTAATCTCCATGGCAATAGCCTGGGCCATGTAGCCACGCAGTTCTCTTTCTTCCCGCTCGTCCTCCTTCATCAAACGCCGGCGTTCCTCTTTTGAAAGATTCTCCCGGCGCATACGACGGATTTCATGGATGACCCAGAGCAGGACCTCCTCGGGTGCGCGGGTGCGGGACATGCCGTGCTTTGCTGGGTTGCGGACGTATCTTCTTGTGACGTCTGTAGCGCCGTCAATCGAGAAGGCGATGCAGTATGCCATCTTGCGGTTCCAGCCTATTTTATTTTACTATATATCAGAACTCGCGGCCACCATTTGTAGGAAACTCGACCAATAGACGACGGTGTAAGATTATATATATATATATATAAAGAGAGACGTACCTTCTAAGTTGAGCCTGGGATTATCCCAAGCCTCCTCACCCTCCAATTCTACCCATCGCTTCTGATGTCAGAGTACACCG